GGGCCGGGGGCGCGGAGCCGGGGTGGGGGCAGTCGCAGGTCTGGGGGGCTCAGCCTGTGGAGCCACGCTGCCCTTGCGCTGCGGGTGACTTGCGAGGACCCCCCTGAAATTGAGGCCGAGGTGGGGTCCTAGAGCGGGGGGTGGGGGCCGCGTCGGGGCAAGGGGACAGGAGCGGGGGGCAAGAAGGGGGGAGAAAAGAGGAGAATTAATTTCCGGGGATGGAGGCTTCTCCCCCACTCGGCCGACCCCCACCCCTCTGGACCCGGGGAGTGGCGGGCGCGGGGGTGCCCGGGCCCAGCCGGGGGCGGGGGCTTTCCCCGCCAGACCCCGGGACCCTCCAAATTAATCCTCGCCGCCACGCCGAGCCTGGCGCGGCTCCCCAGCCCCAGCCGAGTTCGGGGAGTTGGCTCCGGACTCCCAGGCCCGGCTTGCCCCCCTCCCCCCCGGTCCACCCAGACCCAGTGCCTGTCACCCCCTCCCCGTCACCTTAGCGACGGCAGATGGGGGCGCGACCTACGAGGAAGGGCTTAGGGGAGGGGGCGCTACTAGTCCCCACCTGCGGTGGGAAAGTGAATTTTAGTTTTATGCGTTGTCGTGGCAACGCGGGAGGGGGTGACGAGTGGGCGGAGAGGGGGCGCAGTGAAGAAACTAGCTCAGCACCAGCGCCCCATCGCAGTGAGCCGGGCACCTCCAACCTCGGAAACCTCCGGACTACCCTCGCCCAGGGGTTCTCCGGGCCCCTCCACATTGGGATGGCCTCGTCCGCGGAGGAACTGCTCCTGCCCCCTCCGCACGCCGCCACCCCCAGTTATAGCTCCAGACACCGAGAGAGAAACCCTGGCTTCTGCAGAGAAAGAACGTCCGTCCAGCCAACCGAACGTCCAGCCGCAGACCCAGACCCAGGCCGCCCCAACCTTCGCAGCCATAAGACCCACAAAACAACCCTGAGAACCACAGAAGTTACCCTGAACTAGCCCCTCTAAAAACAGTGTCTCCACCCAGGACTCGCCTGGACCCTGCCCCCGCGGGCAGCCCCAGGACCCACCAAGCATCACACAGCAGCTTCTAGGTCAGCCCAGAGCCCAGTACCTTCCCTGGACGGCCCTGACTTTCGGACCCCTGGCCTGTTCCCACACCTGGTGCCACTTGAAGAGGCCCCTCAGCCTCCCCAGGGTTCCACTGACCCCTCAGAGCCTGGCTCCGTGCGACGTGTGTCCCAGGGTTCAGTGACCGTCCTGCTTCCCAGGCCTGAGTGGACCCTCCCTGACCAGGAAGTGGGCCCAAGGGCGCCCGGACCTCCCGGCCCACTTCCAGGCTCCTCCCAAGGCCAGTGACTACTGGCCTGTAGAGCTGGTGGTCTCCTGGGGCTAGGGCAGGATGAGAGGGGTGGGGTGATGGGGCGAGGACCCCTTATCACAGGAAGCAGCTTGGGAAGCACAAGGATTGAATTTCCTGTGCTCCAGCCCAGGGTAGAGGAAGTGATTGCATCCTGGCCTCTTGTGTCTCCACTGCCTTCCTGCCTCCTCTCCCATCCCCAGCCCCCCATCTGCCCCTGGGCCCTGCCTCACTAGCTCCCACCTCTGTCCCCTAGCCTCTTGTCTGCGGCCACTTCAGTGCCCCCATCAGAGCCACGGTCCAGCCCTCTCTGCCTTCCATGTGAACTGGAAACCAACCCTGTCCCTGGCTGTGGCTGCAAACCCTTCTTGCAGAGCTCTACCTCCCATGGTCTAATCCTGATGCTGCATGGGATACACACCCACCCACCCAGTCTTCCTGAACTTTAAGCTAGAAGCCTGGCTCGGCAGAAGAGGAAGCAGGGCACAGGGGTCCACACCCTTCTTTTCCTGTGAATAAGGGCCCTGATGCCTCCACCACCCATCCTGGTACTTCCCAAGCAAAGCCTGCTCCAACCCTGCCCTCTACCCAAGGCCACAGTTACAGGACTATCTCTTCCTACACTGTCCTGACCCAGGACCCTTCACCTTCCTTCCTTCCATCAAAGCCAAGCTTACAGAAGGACTGATTCTGGCCACCTGGCCTCTCTCACACCATCCCATGTGCACACATAAACGAGGGCACACCCTTGTACACCTTTCATCAGACCTACAGGCTCACTGTCTCTGCTTCCTCCCCTCTTCTGAGTTGCTATCCAACTCCAATGACAGCTCCTGTTCCCCTCAAATGGGTCCTTTCTCAGCATCCTCAACTCAGTGCTCCCCAGCTCACCTTCCAAGTTTCCTGGGCCCCCTGCACCAACAGTGCATCTCTAGGCAGTCATGATTCTGACCTCATTCCAGACATGCTTAGAGACGTCTGTGATCCCCACCCCATTGCTCCTCTTACACCCAGTTCCAGCCCCATTTCCATCTCATACTTAACCCACAGTGACCTTGTAGCTGTGCTATGCTAGAAATGCTCCCTGGAAGGCCATCATCAGTCTCCAACTCACCTGACATTTCGGCTGACCTTTCCTAGTGCATTCCACTGACTCCTGCTGACCTTTCTTGATCTATCTGAGATGTCCTTTGCCTCTCTCCCTAGGCCATTTCCCCCTCTGCTCCCAGGTCCAAAGTGAGCTCAAACTCCACTTGGTCCATCCACCTTCTGTGTATGTGCTTCTCCCCCTAAGCGATGCCACCTTCTAATCTGTGCAGCTTCTGGCCTGTGGGCCATTGGTCACTCTGTGCTTTGCTTGTTTTGTCTGCTGACAGGTCCACTGACCTGCTGCCGTGTCCATGAAGATGACAATGCTTGGTCTGTATTGGATGATCAAGTTCAAGCCTCCCCTCAAGCAGCTCACATTTTAAATCAGCTGCTATGTAGTCCTGAGCAGTATGCACAGGTAAACCACTATACAGGTCTGAGTACTGTGCACAGGTGAGCCTCCTCTGCAGTTCTGAGTAATGCACACAGGTGAGGCCACTCTGCAGTACTAATCAGTGTGCACTGGAGTGCCCACTCTGTGGTCCTGAGCAGTGTGCATGGGGTGCCATTCTGCAATTCAGAACAGTGCATGGGTGAGCCCACTCTGCAGTCCTGAGCAGTGTATACGGGTGAGCCTGCTCTGCAGTCCTGAACAGTGAGCATGGTGTGCTGTTCTGCAATTCTGAACAGCGTGCACAGGTGAGCCTTCTCTGCAGTCCAGAGCAGTGTGCACAGGTGTGACATTCTGCAGTTCTGAGTAATATACACAGGTATATAATGTCAAGAAGACAAAGATTCTCACCACTGGACCAATTGGCAGCATCAGGATGGATGGTGAAGAGATTGAGATTGTACACAGCTTTAGTTTGCTTGGCTCCATAGTCAACAGTCTTGGTACCAGCAGCCAGGAAATTAAAAGGCGCATTGCCATGGGAAAGTCTGCTGTTAGGGACCTCTCCAAAGTACTGAAGAGCAATGGTGTCTCTCTGGAGACTAAGGTGCGTCTGATACAGGCCATGGTCTTCGCAATCACCTGTTATGCATCAGAGAGTTGGACAATGACCAGGGAGGATAGAAGGAGAATTGATGCCTTTGAGCTGTGGTGCTGGAGAAGAGTATTGAGAATACCATGGACTGCTAGGAAAACAAACAGATTTGTCCTGGAGAGGGTTAAACCGGGTGGCTCCTTGGAGGCAAGGATTCTGAGGCTCTGTCTAACATACTTTGGACATGTTGTGAGGAGAGACCGGTCCTTGGAGAGGGACATCATGCTTGGGAGGGTGGAGGGACAACGCAGGAGAGGAAGGCCCTCTATGAGGTGGATTGATTCAGTGACTGGGGTAATTGGGATGGGAGAGGAGTCGGAGACAGTGCGATTGGCACAGGACAGAGCGGAGTTTAGGGCTGCTGTACGTAGGGTCGCTATGAGTCGCAGGCAACTCGACGGCACATAACAACAACAAACAATAATACCCGCTCTGCAGTCCTGAGCAGTGAACAGGTGTGCCATTATACAGGTCTGAGCAGTGTGCACAGGTGTACCATACTATAGTCCTGAGCAGTGCACACAGGTAAGCCTTCTCTGCTGTCCTGAGCAGTGTGCAGTTGTGCTATTATCCAGTCCCAAGCAGTACACAAGTAATCCTACACTGTGGTCCTAATCAAAGTGCACAGGTGACCTCACTCTGCAATACTGAGCAATGTGCCTGGGTAGAATTCCCAAGGGCCTCTGTGGGCCTAGTGTGTTGTTTGTAAGTTTTTGTTGTTAACACTTATATACATATTTTGGTTATCTAGTTGGTCAAGCTTGGAAGCAGGAGTGGCATCCACATCCAAAATGGCTTGCCTCCAGAAAGTATGAACAGTGCTCATGTCTTCCATTCATAGGGTCGCAATGACTCATCTACGACTTGACGGCACGTAACAACAGTCAAGAGAGGTCAGTCCCTCTTGAAGGGCATCATGCTTGGGAGAGTAGAGGATCATCGAAAGAGGAAGTGAGATGAAGTGACATAGTAGCTGAGACAGTGCCTTACAACAGCAGAGGTTGTGAGGACGGTGTGGGATTGGCAGGTTTTATTCTGTTATACACTAGGGCCCTAGGAACTAAATCAACATCTACAATAGTTCTTAAATTTGATTTGTTCATTTTCTTATTGTGCTTCCTTATTATTTTTTCTTGTTTGTCTCCTTCCAAAGAACCAGCTTTTCATGTTGGCTTATTTTGTCATTTCTGTTCTTGTCTTACATCTTTTCACTGTTTAAAAATACAGATTATGGTTCTTTTTCTAATTAATTGGATATTTGGTGCATTGATTTTTCAGTCTTTTCTAATAAAAGCATTTAAGGCTGTAATTTTTCAGTTATCACTTTAACTATGTCCCTTAAGTCTTGATTTGTGTCTTTTATTTTGTTCCAATTTTCTAATGTCAACTTGCTGTTTCTTTGATGTGGGCAATGCTGAGGCAAATGTTCACTAGAGGGGTTTTTACCAAGACTCATTGTTGGCTCTGTAGGGAGTTGTGCTCTTAACTCACAGGTACACCTCTCTGGCCATTCAAATACAACAACTGCTCCACAAAAGATGGACATTCTCCTCTATGCAATTTACAATGTCCAGCCCCCAGGAGGGTCAGCTGTGAGTCAGCTCCAACTCGACGGCAATGAGACTGATAGATAATAGATAGATCGATAGATGATAAATAGATAATAGAAAGATAGATGATGTTTGTTGTTATGTGCCGTCGAGTCGCCTGCGACTCAGCAACCCTGTGTACAACAGCCCTAAACTCCGCTCTGTCCTGTGCCAATTGCACTGTCTCCGACACTCCCATCCCAATTATCCCAGTCACTGAATCAATACACCTCATAGAGGGCCTTCCTCTCCTGCGTTGTCCCTCCACCCTCCCAAG